AACCAATATTTAAGCTAGTCTTTTCTTTTAACTGTTGTTAAAAGCCCCAGTCTGGCTCTAAAAAATTTATTATGGTTAAAAGTCGCTTGTTACATGAAAAACGGAGATTTTTTTTTTTGAAGTGGACTACAATAAATTTTTTCGTGTAACGTTTATATTGAATGACACTTGATTTGCAATGTCCCACGACTAATAACAAGATAAATAATAGGTGTCATTTAATTTTGTCATTCATAATTGATTTCATCACCTGTAATTGATTTCGTAATTAATTTCATAATTACATATTACATATTACATTTTTACTTTGCCCCCAAATTACAGCCCATAATTATACCTATTGACACTAAGTCTAAATATCAACACACAGCTAGGACATTCCTTTGCCTACTGAATTACAGTTGATTCCACTATCTTATGACATCAAGTTTAGATAGTCCCAAATATTTTGACACACAGCCTAGGACATTCCTTTGCCTACTGAATTACTGTCAAAACTTCTTTTATCTTATGACACCAAGTCTAGATAAAAGATCTCTAAGTTGCTTTGCTAACTATATCCCAAATGCATCCCCTTGAGATGCAACTGAATAATTAAAAGGGTTCCCAACTAATAATTAAAGGTTGGCCAAACCATTAATCATTAGAAGGGCTGGGGTCAACCTAAGGTTGCTTGCCAAAACTCATCCAGAAATCAATCAGCAGGGTTTCGGCAGGTTACACATTAATTGTTTATTAGAGTTTCGGCAGAGTTTCACATTTTGAGGTTTCGCCTTTCAGCATAGTTTCAACAGGATTTTTGATAAGATTTAATATAGTTTTGCCGTGGTTTCAGCAATTACTAAGGAGGTTTTGCCCACAACCTTACCACCACCACAAAATACTCAAACGTTTCCAAACTATCAAAATATTGTTGCCGCTACCAACATCACCAATACTACTGCAAATGTCGATGCCACATTTGCCATTGCCAGCAGTAACAATAGGAAACCTTCAGTCTCGACTCCGTTATTAAATTATCCTTCTTCTTTTTCTCACAAAAGCAATAATAATATTGTTTGACTCTTGGCACGTCTTGAAAAATGTATTGATCAAATGGAAAAACATATAAATCAAAAGATTTTTGCAAACAACAATTTATCACAAAATCATGCTTTTGATAATGGTCATTACAATAATAATATTAATAGTAGTAACATTAGTAATGAAGATATTTATAATCTTTTAAGTAAACTTTTTATTCATGTAGAACAGTTGGAAGTCGATGTTGATCAAAATCTTGCTGTTTTGAACAAACTTTATCAGTATAAAATTATTATTTTTTAAAAAATATTATTATTATGCATTTATGGAGAAGGAAACAAAGATGGCCATTGAAATACTTTTTTAAAAAAATAAATATTTATATCATTTTAAACAAATAGAGCTTCCAGGTTCAAACTTCTAGCAACTAGTTGTTACATTATGTTTATTATTATAATGACAATACATTTGTCAAAATTATTTCACATACAGTACCTGGACAAAAGTATTGGAACACTTGCTTTTGTTGATTGCGCAAAAATATACATAATAAACATGTATGAATTTATATCATTTGTGGTTTAGGTTCTTGTGAATATCTATGTAAAATCACATACAACTATGTTTTGCAGAACTCGAATAAGTATTAAATAATCATAACATAAATTCTGTATAGGGTCTATTGAATGATGTTATTTTCATTATGTGCTATATAATGCTATGAATTATGCATTTTTAATTTCAAGGTGTCCTTGAAATTATTTATTAATAATAATAATATTAATAATAACAATTACACAAAGCAAAATACCAATCATTCATTTGTTGTCATCTTGATAGGACCTTATAATTACCCAACAAGATCTACTTCACATTTTGATCCAATTATAATATTTATATCTTATTGGTATGCCAATACCTTGATTGTTTTTTAAAAAATATTGGTCAGATATCAGATTCTGATATTTACTGATACCCCATTACTCAATTTGGCATCATTCAACCAGTAAAAAGAGAATCAATAGATTATATATAGAGCAAAGAAAGATGGGACCCTAAATTAGCACAAATGAATTTTAAATCATGCACATACATAATGGCCTATCTTTAATAAAACAAACATGACTTAACCATTTAATCATTTCCTTGTATGTGAATGTTTCCTAGTTCCTTATGAATAATAAATCTGATATTAACCACAGGTGTCAGATTTATTAAAATTTCCTCTCACAAACATGCAGGACACTACCAGCACCATGGAATTTTTTTCCCACAGGTGAAGTTGACCTTGAACACCTTGGAAAGCTTTGGACAAAACTTCCCTTATCCTCCTCTCAGACCAGGCTTGGCTGTTGCCATGTGAGCATTGATTGCTGATGAGAGTTGGCATTTGTGTGATGCTTGCTTTGTGTTATCCAATCTGTAGAACGAAGTTGGTGTCTGCTACTGATTCAAAATTCTCCAATTCAGAACCCAAATGCGATTTCAGGGCTACCAACCCTGCTCTGAATTATGACTTGGTCACAGAGCCATCCTTAACCTAGAGGTAGGATCGTTGCAAGTAACTTTTCATCCAGCATGCCAGCAACCATCTCTGGTCTGGGTACTGTGAGGGAAAATTAGTGAAAGCGTCATTGACAATTGGTGCAGTCTTGGTAAACTCCAGGGCATTGCTTCCCGCCCCCTGGAGCTCAGTTGCATCATTGTATCATCGGGGGATCAAGTCAGATTAGCCTTTTGTACACGAGGAAGATGTGTGAATGACTGTAAAGTGTTCAAGGCAGTGTGCATGCTTCAACGCCTGCTATTTTTCTGTAATCAAACATTGCATATTTGAATTGTTTCTTTTTAAATGGTGTGCTGCCTTGACATCTTGTGATTATAATAATATTATTAATATTATTGATTACGCAAAGCAAAATATTATCAATGAAAATCTTGTAATTACCCAGCAATGATCTGCTCCGCGTTTTGATTTCCAATTAAAATGTTTATAATAACCAAAAATGTCAATAAAAGCAAAAAAAAGTACCTCTGGTTAGTTATTAAAACGTTTCTTTAGGAGACCCAAACCAAACCAAACCACACCGTTCACGTTTTGTCACCTTGGACTCTGTCAAAAAATAAATTGTTTTTTGTTTTTCCAAAAAAAAAAAAAAATCATTCGCGTCTGTCCTACCAGAAAAAAAAACCAATAGGATAAAATAATTAATGTGTACGCGTCGATCAAATAACAAAACTTTTATTTTTTTTCTCTCAAAAAAAAATGTCAAAATCTAATACCAATAAAAGAAGAAAACAAACTGCTCTTGGTGAAATTTCTGGGTAAGTGTTTTAAGGATGGTGGTGGTAGTTATCGTCCCCCACTCATCGTCACTCTAGTTTATATATAAAGATTGGTGGTTATTGCAATCGTTGCCACGCGTCATCACTCTAGTTAATTATAAACTTTTTTTTTATTAGTGAAAATAAAGAAAATGAAAATGATAGGGTATTTATTTCAATAGAATATTATTTTAGTATTCAATATTGTAAACACTAATTCAACATAAAATAATTTTTATATATAATTATTCCCTGCACAAACAATCATCCTCTTTAGAGCTTGAAGAGGAAGGTGGAAGAGTTGGAGTTGGTGGTAGAAAGATTAAAAAGCAAATTAAAAAGTGTTGGAGGTAAATATCTCGAATGTAAATGTTGGGTTATACATTGAAGGCTGATAAATATTCTAGTTATTAGTCGAAACTAAGGGCGCAAACATATTGCCGAGTTGTAACCTATTCTTACGACACCTATATGATGTAAAAAGGTTGTAACCCTTGCAGCTAAATGTTGAATGGTCGTATGCTGTGTGTTATGCCGTGTGCTGTATCATGTGCCGTGTGCCGTACATTATTCCATATGCCGCTTGTTGTGTTGTATGCAAATTTAACTGCCATATTGCCGTACGTTATATGCCATATGTTATGCCATATGCCAACATAGCTGCCATATGCCATACATTATGCTGATGTGCTGTATGAAAAAACTTGTCAATCTTGACCAAAGAAATACAAATAAGGAAATTGTTTGCATAAAAAACTATGGACCTTTCTTATATATATGTATATTATCTTTAGTTTTACAAATATATTTGAATTTTTGATTGAATTTAATTGGATAGAATTAAGAGTGATTATTATTGGTATATATATTTAAAAAGGAAAAAAATAAGAATATCGTTATTTATAATCTTATGCTTAGTGTTCCTATTCAAATATCAGCAATCGAAATGATATTTGAATATTCACATTAATTAGCATATTCGAAATTGGTGTCAAATAATTTTTATATATTCGAATATCCATAACACTTTCGGATATCGTAACACTTTCGAATATCGTAATACTTTCAAATATCATAACACTTTTGAATATCCGCAACACTTTCGCACTTTCGAATATCGTAACACTTTCAAATATCCGTAACACTTTCAAATATCTGTAACACTTTCGAATATCGTAACACTTTCGAATATCTGTAACACTTTCGAATATCCGTAACACTTTCGAATATCTGTGTAATAAATAATAATTAAATCATGATAAATGTAATGATTTATGGAAATAAATAAGAAAGTCTAAACATTATAGTCAAACAAATTATTTATTTTTAAGTTTAGAAAAATTTGGATTGATGAGATTATCTGTATTTTTTATTATTTTTAAGAAATGAAATTTTTGTGTGTAAAAAAGTATTTAATTTGTTTTTTACAATCTATAACACTTTCAATATCCATAATATTTATTTGTAATACATATTTGTTGATAAAATTTCTTCAATTAAAAATGTCTTTGGTAAATGATAACAATAGCATTATTTTAATTAATGATAGAGAAGAAATAATTTCTAATTTTTCGTCAGAAGAGTCCATTGCTAATGATAGACCACCAAATAGAAAAAAATACACAAAACATGGAAGACCTAGAGGAAGCTATATCTGGGATCATTTTATTGAAGAAGGAGATGAACGAATTTGTCAAGTAAAAGTGCCCCTTTCTCTGGAGCATCCAAATGGATTATGTGGCAAAAGATTACCAAATGTATCAAGTACTAGTAATTCAATAAGCCATTTATTAAAATTTCACAGTATACTTCCACCCACAGAACAACAAAAAGTATATTAATATATTATTTATCATTTATTTTTTAAATATCTTATATTAAATTTATGTTTGTTTCGTTATAATAGTTAGAATCTGAAGGACAAACAGATATAAGGGATTTAATACAGAAAAAAAGAGCCTTATCAAAAAAAGAGCAAGACAAAATTAATCAAGACTTGATCAATTTTATTGTTGATGATATTCAACCATTTAACATTTTAGAAAATAAATTTTTTAGACATTTCGTAAGTTCATTGAATCCCAACTATGGAATTCCTTCACAGCCAAAAGTTGATCAACTAATTGAATTTGCATATCACAATACCAATCAAAAATTAACTAAATTAATTGATTCTGCTGATGTTGAATATGTTTCTTTGACATGTGACTTCTGGACTTCTAGGGGGCATCATGGATACATTGGAGTCACTTGCAGCTTTTTATCTGAAGATTTTGAGTTTAACAAAATCTTGCTGGCTCTTCAACATGTTCCTTATCCCCACACAGCAGAGACAATCAATAATAAATTACAAGATGTTATATTTAAATGGAATCTCAAAAACAAAGTATTCACTTTAACAACTGACAATGGTGCTAATATGGTCAAAGCTGCTAGACTTCTTAATTATGATCTAAATATCATAAGAATACCATGTTTTGCACACACTTTACAATTAGTTGTAAATAAGGCATTAAAAATTAATACAAACATTCAGTCATTCGTTTTAAGATGCAAAAGATTGATCAACTTCTTCACTACCCCTAAACAAAAAGAAAATCTTGAAAAGATGCAAAAAGAGCTGAGTTATCCAAATATTCATACAGTAATTCAAGATATCAGCACTAGATGGAATTCATCATTTTATTCATGGAGAAGGTTAATTGATTTACAAAGTGCAGTTACTCATTTACCATCTAAACTAATGGCTGATCTAAATAAAGATAACAAAAAAGATGGGAAAAGGCTTGAATGAATCATGTTAAATGATAGTGAGTGGATTTTGATGAATGATCTTGTGCAAATCTTTAGTGGATTTGAAGAACTCACCAGAAAATTCAGTGGAAAGTCATATGTTACTTTTTCTGTTGTATATCCTTTAATCAACTCACTAAAGGAGAAATTGAATTTAATATTAAATTCCATTGAAGATTGCAACAACATTAATATTTCAATTAATCAAAATGATGAAAGTTCAGAAATGATGCAAATGGATGAAGAAGATGATTCACTTTTAAATATTGAGGTCATTCCTGATGAAGAAGAAGTGGATGAATTAAT